TCTGAAAGAATAATGGTTACTCTGTTGATTTGTTGCCTAGATGATCTGTCCAATGCTGACAGGTGTGATCAGGTCCCCCAATATTATCATAGAGCAAATGCTGCTTCTGTCACTCTGGAATGGGCTTTGTGGAGAGAGACATCCTCTTCTTTTCTTTGTCTCAGCTGGTGACTCTCCTCATGTCAGTGCACTCCAGTGGCTGGTGGACCATCTGCGTGGTGGTTGTGGCATCTAGCTGCCTTTGCAGCAGCCATGGTTATCTTGGTGGCTGTGGTAGGCCACCAACACGGAGATGTTTTTGGTCTGCTCTGTGGTGCTGGCAGTGTGCCTGGTTGTGAAGAGTGTCCAATCCCCGGTTCCATGCCCTGGGTCCCCGAGTGGGTCCTGAGGTGTTGGCACGGTGTGCCTGGTTGTGGGAGGGGGGCCCAGTCCCCAGATCCTTACCCTGGGTCCCTAGGCATGCCCTGAGGCGCTGGTGCAGTGTGCCTGGTTGTGGGAGCGGGTTTTGGTCCCCTTCTCCATGCCTTGGGTCCTTAGCAGGCCCCGAGGCACTGGTGCTGTGTGCCTGGTGGTAGGAGGGGGATCCGGTCCCCTTCTTCATGCCCCTGGTCCCAGGGCAGGCCCTGAGGTGCTGGCACAGTGTGCCTGGTTGTGGGAGGGTGGTCTGGTCCCTGGCTCCATACCCTGGATCCCCGGATGGGCCCCAGGGCACTGGTGTGGCATGCCTGGTTGTGGGAGGGGGATCCGGTCCCCAGCTCCTTACCCCGGGTCCCTAGGCTAGCCCCAAGGCACTGGCACAGTGTGCCTGGCTGTAGGAGGGGGGTCTGGTCCCTTTCTCCATGCCCCAGGTCCCAGGGCAGGCCCCAAGGTGCTGGCGAGGAGTGCCTGGTTGTGGGAGGGAGGTTCAGTCCTCTTCTCCATGTCTCGGGCCCTTGGGCGGGCCCTGAGGAGCTGGCACAGTGTATCTGGTTGTGGGAGGAGGGTCTGGTCCCATTCTCCATGACTTGGGTCCCTGGATGGGCCCCAAGGTGCTGGTGTGGTGTGCCTATTTGTGGGAAGGGGGTCCGGTCCCTGGCTGCTAGCCCCGGGTCCCTGGGCAGGCCCCTAGGCATTGGTGGTATGCCTGTATGTGGGAGTGGGGTCCGGTCCTTGGCTCCAATCCTCGGGCTCCTGGGTGGGGCCCCAAGGTGCTAATGGTGTGAGTGGTTGTGGGCAGGGGTCCTGCCCCTGGTTCCATGCCTCATGTCCCCTGGTGGGCCCCAAGGCATTCATGGTGTGCCTGGGCCGGAACTAAGTTTTTGTCCTTTGCTTACTTCTAAAATGGCGGAACTTCCTGTGGGAACCATTGAGCTGTGTGGTTGAAGTAAATTGCTGCTTTGCTGCTGTTTCCCTAGGGAAGGCTTTTTGTGCAGTTCGGGGTTTAATGGTTGACCTTATAGGTACTTCCAGCTCTCCGGATACTCGGTGCACCTGGGTTGTGTAGAAACTCTGATCTGGGCCTTAGGTTTTTCAGCAAACTGCACCCCATGCAATTCTGCATTCCCGACCAGTCTCCTGTGAGTGGTCCTGCACATTTATTTTAATTTTTTAAAAATTTTTATTGAATCAAAATTGATTATACATATTTTTGGGGTTCAACATTGATATTGATCAAACTAATATTACTAGCATATATATTGTTACAAATTATAATTATTCTTTATGCCCCTTGTCCAATCTCTCCTCATCCCCCATGTCCCTCTCCCCTCACCCCTCTAATTACCCTAGATTTCTTCTCTCCTTCTGAAAGAATAATGGTTACTCTGTTGATTTGTTGCCTAGATGATCTGTCCAATGCTGACAGGTGTGATCAGGTCCCCCAATATTATCATAGAGCAAATGCTGCTTCTGTCACTCTGGAATGGGCTTTGTGGAGAGAGACATCCTCTTCTTTTCTTTGTCTCAGCTGGTGACTCTCCTCCTTTCAATGCACTCCAGTGGTTGGTGGACCATCTGCGTGGTGGCTGTGGCGTCTAGACGCTTTTGCAGCAGCCATGGTTATTGTGGTGGCTGTGGTGGGTCACCCACGTGGAGGTGCTGTTTTTGGCATGCTCCTTGGTACTGGCGGTATGCCTGGTTGTGGAGTGTGTTTGGTCCCCTTCTCCATGCCTCTGGTCCCTGGGCAGGCCCCAAGGCACTGGTGCCACGCTCCAGCATTAAAGCAGCTGCGGCCCAAAACACTGAGATCAGTTTTTTCTTTCTTTCTTCGTGGTGTCTCCTGCCTTCATGAGTTCCATAGGTCTCTCCTCCTCTTCACCTGAGCTCCAGCGGCCCCAGCTTGGCTGATGTTACATTTTTATGGTTGTAAATTCATTGATTTGTGAGAGAGAGTGATACTGGGACTATCTACTCCGCCATCTTGACAGGAAGTCTTGAACAACTTTTTAGTTTAACACAGCAGGAATTCTCCAGAACTTTAAGTTTTTCAGCTTTCCATCCCATTTTAATACACTGCATAACATCCCAAACTCAAACAGCCTCCTGGTGTTGGACATCTAGGTTATCGGTTTTCTGCTACCATAACTAATGCTGTGAGCAGCATCTGTACCAATCGGATGAGTTTTTTTCTATTTCTTGGGCCAAGAAATAGAGGAAGCACGAGGCACCTTGGTGTATTCCGGGAGGGCTTCTGGAGGACCAGTTGGTAGGGGCCTTGTAAGCCAAGAAAGGATTTGAGCCTTGGTCCTAAGGGCAGTGGGAGGTCACTGAAGAAGGTGGAAGATTTTCATTTCAGATGTGTGTTTTTAAAAGATCTCTTGACTGCAGGATGAAACAAAGATGGGGTAGTTCAACGACTTCAGACAGAAGTCAGGAGTAACCATGAAAGATGGTGCACTAAGAGGGAGCAAAGTGGATGAACTCGAAAGTTTCAGGTCAGTGGCAGGACTCAGTGCCCTGGGATTGTTTATGGCTTGTGCAGCTGGCAGGATAGATGGAGTCACCATTCATTCACCTGAGAACACTGAAGAAGGGCTAGATAGATTTGGGGGATTTTTAGTGATGGAAGTTTGGGAGAGACCATGTAATTAGTCTTGGCTGTGCTGAGTTTGAGGCACCTTTGAGAAACAGTGGAGATGGCACAGTAGGGGGGATATTGGCGTCTGGACTAGAGTTACAGATACCGGAGTTACTGATGTGGAGATGGCACTAGAAGCCAGAGGCCGGGCTCACATCACCAAGGACAACCTGTGTGGTTAGGAGACCTGGGCCTGAAAGAGTGGCTCTCCTCATCTACACACAGACGCCAAAGGAACTACAAAAGTGCCCACAGAAATTAATTTGTATCACAACCCAGCTGGATCAAGAAATACACACGAGAAGGGGAGGCCAGAGTCAGTGGCGTAGCTACTTAGGTCCAGACACTTGGTTTGTCTCAGGAGCCACAAGTCAGTGGCAGGGACTACAGTGCACACGGCTTGGGCGATCTCACACAGGGGGCACCCCCATCCGCCAACCTTCTTCTACCACAAACATGTCTATATTGAAGTGGAGGACTGGGTGTTTACAGTGAAGTGAACAAAAGGGAACTGTACTCTTTTAGATCAGCTAACGAAAATAAAACAAAATGAGGGGCCGGCCCGGTGGCGCACTCGGTAGAGTGCAGTGCTTGGGAGTGTGGCGGCGCTCCTGCCGAGGGTTTGGATCCCATATAGAGACCGGTCTGCCCACTGGTTGAGCACGGTGCGGGCACGACACTGAGGGTTGCGATCCTGTTGCCGGTCGCGGTACGGGCGCAACACCGAGGGTTGCGATCCCATTACCAGTCACGAAAAAAGACAAAAAGGAAAAAAAAATAATAAAACAAAATGAGAAAAAGGTGCTAAAGCAGTCTAAAGGCAGTATCGGGACATAAAAAATGCCTTTTCTACCACTGTAGTGTTGAAATAGGTCCATTTCTAGCTGTCTTGATGGAGATTATCTGGGGTGTGTGCACTAGAAGTTATGTGCATGGAGTCTCATAGAAACACAATTTTAATAGAAACACTGGAAATCAAACAAATGAGAAAGAGTAAATAAATAATAGTATATTTACACAATGAACTATGGATAGCAATGAAAATAAATTGCAGTTACGGTTAAAGAAATCACATGCAATGTTATCCTTTGAGGTCGATACTATTTCTTGAGTGATCACAACATTAAGTCATCAAGTTAATGCCCCTCTAAAATGAAGACCTTACAATGTCAAACTCCCTAAAATCAAACTCCACGTGGCTTCACAGCTGAAGTTAGTCAAGGTCATTAAGAACTACTAATGCCAATGTTTTTAAAGGCATTACAATGTCTTTGAAATGATGCTCTATGTTTTACAGACACTGAAAACTACCTAAAAACCTACGTGGTACAGACGTACTGACTCTATTTATTGCAAAATGGTCTCTTCAGCCCCATGGGTGACAACTGGCTCTGTGCCTGCCAATGAGGTCTGCTTGTCCGTGTATCTGATTCCAGTGTCTGCCAATGTTCTTGTTCAGCTTTGTAACTTCCTCAGGCCTAGCACTATACCTTCCCTAGGGAGAATGTGTGCTAAATGAGTAGCAGAACCAGTAAAAGTCACTTACATATTGGCACAGAATCATTTTATATTAGAGGCTTTAACACCATCTGTACTAAAGGAATTGGCCTTCGTAGAAGATTCTGCTGAAGAATAACCTAGAAATCATTAATTTTAAGTAGAAAAAACAATAAAGTCAATACATGTATCTATAACCACAACACAATCAAAATACATAATAAGATATGAGGCATATGGGCTATAACAGATAGTAGAACCTCTAAATTTAGAAAACAAATATTTTGACCCAGTTTAGAAACATTTAAATAGACAGGGTGGAGATTCAGCGTAATATAATTT